GTCAAGCAGCACGCGGAGCAACTTTGGTTTGGGGTGTGCAGACAGGAAAAGCAGAGAGGGAAAGGAGACAGGTATGCACACAGAGATGGCACTGGCACATGCACAGTACATGATGAGAGATGGAAGCCATATGAAGTTCTTACCTCCCATAAATCCCAAGGTAAAGACTAAGCATGTCAAAGAGCAACAAAAATAAAACATATTTATATGTGATTATTTCAATGAGTACAGACGTTACAGATGCTGATCAGACTGAAGCAGACATACACATTGAACAACACTTATCTCTGCATGTTTTTAAAATATTTTTTAAATACCTGAATTTATAGACCCCTCCTCACTGCATATTCAAAGCTACGTACCAAGGCATGTGGGTAAAGGGTTTTTTTCTACCTCTGGTGTGAAGAGACAGTCAAGCCACATTCAGTTATCAGTGGCAGATCACATAGCCAGAAAAAAGCCTCACTAATTTGTGGCCAATCAGGGTTAAATATGCTTCCACATATCCACACCCCACAATTAGCATGATTTCAGAATGGGACTTCAACTGGTGTCTTTGGATCAGTAGTGAATTATCTTAACCTCTTTGTCGTGGTGCCCCCACTATAGGAAATAAATTTGACTGCTTTGAAAACTAGGTGGATTTCTCTAGGTTTTTTACTATGGTTACCATTAGAAAGTACTGATTTCAGACTCTTTCTTTTAATAACTTCTGAAGCTACTAATAAATACATTAAAACACCAAATATGCTACTGCTGAGCAGTTTTGAAAAACCCACTCAGTGTAATATTAGTTGCTTGCCAGAAGGGTAACAAATAATTCCATTTTCAGTCAAATTTATACTCGTATCCTACACCACTATACCAAATTATCCAAGTTATGGTGACTCAGAAAAAAAAATCCCAGTAAATATTTTTTAAATAGCTTATCCTGGCATATAGCTTGTTCTGACAGGCAAAGAGACGTGAAAATTCAATCCACCCACTTAATGTTCTAGAAAGTGGTAGCTTGCCATATTGGTGTGTATCAAACTACGACAATAACTAGTATTTTGCTCATACAGTATTTTAATTTAGAATAATCAAATGCCTCATGTTTGATCTCTCTAAGAAGAGAGATCTTACCACTATAAAAATCTGTGTCATACAGGCCTGCTTGACATGGTGATACTGGAGAAATACTGTAATCATCTCAATTATCTTTATTACAAATTTTAATGGCAACCATGAGCAAAAAAATAACCATTTCATACATCTGAAGTGGAAAGTCTGGATGAGGACAACAGCCAAATTCAAGATGCACTTCAAAGCCTCCAGCCATTTAGATAAAAAAGCAGCGCACTCCACCTGTCTCAGAGTGGACAGGCCCAAGTACAGGCCAGAACCAAATTAGGCATCTTCCTTTTTGATACTGCGCTGCACAACGCTATGCTCAGGGAGGAAGCTACTTCTTAACTACGAACAAAGACTATGTTATACCCAGAAAAAGAAGGGCTTCACATCACTTGAATATCCATTTACAGCTTTATTCACCTTCAGTAACTGCAGATTATCAAAGTGTTTGTTTATTAAAAATCCCTTTGAGAGCAATTTATAGCAGAAGCACAGAACAGAGGCTGAATTCCCATCCACAGAGTAACAGTTTAAATCCATAAAGCATACAGAAGATGCTAATCTAGGGAGAGATATACATTAAGTTGAAAGAGTTGTCAAACAGCAGATCATCGGAGCAAAGCACAAACATGTAGTGCCAGGCTGTGGCCTGGCTATTAGCTGCCTGATTCCCACTGGACTTATACATCCAGCAGAGAAGACCAAGGTGCCCATCTCCAAGGCACAGGCCTGGGCACCCAACCCAGTCACCCACAGCTCAGGTCCACATTATCATTCACATGGGCACAGATCACGCCACGCTTGGCATAAAGTCATTTATGAAGGGAGAAGGAGTGGTGATATGAACCAACCTGGGAGGCAGATGTGGGGGTCTTCCCCACAGTGGCATCTGGTTTAATGGGATCAAAATCCAGATCCAACAGGCTGGCTCCCTCCTGGAAGGGCCCAGGGGCATCAAACTTGGCAGCAGTAAGGAAGAAAAGCAGTACGAGCATTAGACACACACGCGCACACACATTGAGGGAGGGTATGTGATATCCAGGAGCTACGGCTGCAAGCGCAGAAGACAGGGTGGCAATGCAAACACCTGATGTGACTCCTGACTGCTTGGTGCCTGTTATCAGGGGCAGTTCACATGGGTCACTGTAAACCAAACTTGAGCCTTTTCCACAGGACTCATTCATCTTCCCAGCAGGCCAAGTGAGCTGACATGGTATAAGCACCTGACCTGCTGTAGTCAAAAGGATCACTGACACTGATGACTCAGAAGAGCTTCTCCTCTATTTATATCCATGCCTCATAGCTCATCCAGCTGTCTCTGTACTGAAGGCCCAGGACAGACTCCCTCAGCCACATCCAGAAGAGCTGCCATCCATATAGCTTATCTCAGGAACACAGATCCAGGCAGAAAACCACTCAAACCGCTGGAAGGCAAGTCTGCAGGACAACAGAGCTAACTCCCAAAGCTGCTAATTCCCTCCTGCCTTCTGAGACATAAACAGAACATAGCAGCTCACTCTAGTTACAGATCTTGAATCACTCCTTAATCTAAAAATCACTGTTTTCAAAGGTTTCTATTCATGGACATCCCAGACATATGCACACATGAGGCTTCTAACAAAGCATAAATTTGAGAGGCTTTGCTACTCTCTTCAAAGTCAGCAGAATAACTCCCTTTGATTGATGAAGGCTTTAGCCAAAGACAATGATGGAACATTCATTACCATAATAAAATAGTTACTACAAAGGGTATAAGTCATCAGTGCTCAGAACTGAACTATCATTTTTGCTATTTAGATTTAACCTAACCACTACAAGACACTCCTTCCTACTCAGCTTCAGAGAAAGCTCCTATCCCCAGGAAGTCCACAAAGATTTGCCCCCATTTCCACCTGACCTCCCAGTTCACTGACCCTACTGCTTCAGCTACCTTCCCATCAAAACAAAGTGTGGCAGGCTAGTCTCCACAGTTCTATCATAGCCCCGCTATGGAAAAACTCCTGGAAAATAGCAAGAGACATCATTTAAGAGAAAGTCCTCTGAGTATAACCCACACCACCATCACTTTCACCTTCTCTAGTTTCCTCTTACTTCAATTCTTTTACCGATTTTTCTCTCCTTTATGAACATCTCTTTTGCAAATCCACAGGCATGAGGACAAGGAACCCAGCTCTCCCATCTCACAGTAATAAACCTTGACCAGTATGCAGAAACCAACTGGCATTCCTCCATACACTCCTCCAGTACATCCACACCACCCATCACAGAGGCTCCAACTCCAATTTTAGTTTTGTTTGGTAGTGAGACATCAAAGGTTCCATTCATGGAATATTCTTACCTGCCATTCAAGACTTACATGCAAGGGATAGCACCCCTTGCCTTTACCCAGATCTCCCACAAAACAGCTCATTGGAGCTAAGGCATCTGACAGAAATGGCCCTGGGCAACATGCTGAACACTAGTGGCTGCTAGTGCTTCAGTGAAGATTGTTCTGGTAACCAGAGGCCTCCCTCAGAACTCCCATCTGATTGAATGTCACAGCAGATCTCATCTTGGGTCACAGCACTGATCAGAAGAGTGTGTCTGACTAAGGGCTGGCATTCACATGGAATCACATGATATAAACCATCGAGCAGAGCTGTCTGTTATGATACAGGAGAAGGAAGCACAGAAAACGATAGAGACTTGCTCAGCTCTCTGTGGTCCCCACCTTCCAACACTGCTGTCAAATCATCTCTCTGTTTTGCAAGCTTTATATATTGCAATGCAAAATCTGACGTGCACATCCCTCCCCAGTTCACCTCTGCACCTCAGCGGCTGGGTGGAAGGTGGCAAACCAGAGGCAATGGAGCAGCATGAAGCGAGGAAATGTTAGGGTATGAGTCACAGATGACCACCGATAGAGATATCACTTGTGCTTTAACAAGCATTTGGGCAAATATATATATATATATATATATATATATATATATACTCACATACATACTAAAAAAAGGTAGATCCAGGTATCACATGATACAGCCAGAAATCTGGTCAGGCTCCTATAGACATAAGAACTATCATTCTCCTATCTCTAACACAGAATTCTCCACTTAGGACAGTATAACTTGAAAATGTCTTTCCTTTTTTAGGGCATCAAAAGGTGCCACATGACAAGAAAGAAATATTCTGATGGGAACCACTGGCTGGAGAAGAGTGACAGACTGGGTCAGCAGTCCTGAATTCACTGTAGGCACTGTCCTGCCTGTCTAAACTGGAGACAACTACTCTGCAAAGAGAACTTCATGACATTTCTGTTGGCCTCTCCTGCGTAGGTGTGGGCTTTAAAAGTTACCACAAAGCCCATGTGTGAAGGCATAGAGCACAAAACTGCATTCTCCCAGAACTGGCACAGATGCCACAGTCAGTGCTTAGGGATGTACAAGAGCAGAAAACACGTGCTTCATCCACACCCAGGATGAGTGGATCTGCAGAGAGCATATCATGGAATATGAAGGGAGCCACAGTCCATGTGCACTGGTGCTGAACAAATGCAGTGATTTCTTTCTGGCATCTTCATCAGTTGCATTTCTCCTGTTTCTTCTATGAACGAAAGCTCTCAAAGAGGAACATGTTAGTCAAAGATGCCTTCTAGCCACCTTCCCCTCTAACATAGCTTCCTATCTAACCCTTTGCCTTCTGAGGTCCAATGCTGAACTTGCCTTTCCCCTTCACCTGACCAGGTTTCATGGCTTGATACCTCCAAAGAGAATAAAGGTCAAAAGGAAAAGTTCAGAGGAAGACAAATATAAGGCAGGGCGTAGCAGCTAACCTGCGAAGGGGTTGTCACACTTATCTCAGGGACAAAATTGTCATCAAACAGACTGATGATGTTCTCCTGCTTGATCTCCTTGGAGGGGGTGACTTTTGGAGGCGGAGGCACCGGAGGCCCTTTCCTCAACTGCATGCAAGTGAGCACACGGCCACAGCACAGACGGCGACACCCAAAAAAACCAGAGACAGGAACCAGGTTAGCCACAAAAACTGAAGGTGAGGGAAATCACAACCACAGGCACAGAGTAGGGTCCAGTCAACTCCATCTGGTGTGAGAGGGAGGGTAAAGGTCTGAACTGGAACGAAACAAAAAAACAACCACACGCCTCCAGAGAAGGTTTGGCATCATTAGTTACACTTCAGCCGTGGCCAAGTTTCCCTCTGCAGAGGAGAAGCGTAACACAATTAATATGCATTGACAGGACATGCATACATAATTAGAGCATGTGCAACCTTCAAAAGAACCACTGGGAAGGGAGCGGATCGATTACTGAGAACACAATTCAATAAGGCAGGCCAGCACTGCCTCCCTTTGCCATACTTACCATACCTAAGGGAACAAGAGATCAGACTCAGTTTGTCCTATTATGAGTAGATGCCCATGAGGACAGATCTGATCGGCCCAGCGCTGGTTATCAGTGTACCATAACAAAGGTTGGAAGGAGCTCTTGATTGCAACTTATCACTTCTCAGTTTTAGGCAAGAACAACTCAAACTCCTGAGAAGCCACAACTGCTGTGGGCCAAACTCTGCTCTCAGTTTCACCAATGAGCATTGACACTAGTGAAGTCACAAATGTTTCCCAAATGGAGATCCCAGAGGATGCATAACAAAGTCTGACCCTGTAACTCTAACCTATCCTAATAACTCCCACTCATCCTGACCCTGCATCAACAACCCCATGGAAAGCTGTGGTAGAGCTTCCCTAGATTAACCCATCCACGCTCTCTCCACATTTTCCAGAGTCCAAGGCTCAATGCTCGTTTCAGATCAAAACAAACTTTGAAGAGCTGCTACTGTGTGAGAACAAAGCAACCATAAAAGGTCCCAGCACCACAGCAATGCTCAGCAATGACAATGCTTTCCATTTACAGTGATTTTTTTGAGTTACTTGATCTTCTTATTATACCTAGGATCCCAAGGCAGCAAGACTCAGACCTGACAATGGGTACCCAGTATATCAAGTGTCCTGTGTTCACACTCCTTCAGCATATGATGGAGGTCTACAAGGCATTTACTCATATCACTAAGGATATGCCCAATTTTGTACTGGGTTAACCTAGCTTAGAGAGTATGACTGAGTATGCAAGCATATTTTCCACCGAACAGCTGGCTAGGGGAAATAATGAAAGTAGTGTGCTCACTTCCAACTTTTCACTGTTTGCAGAAGGCGATGTGTCCATATTCCCTGAGAAAAATTCCTTCCTGAAAATCCACAGCTTGCCAGTTGCAAGAAGGGACCAGAAATTTCAGGGTAAAGCTATTCTCAGAACAGAGTCACCACCTGGAGAAATGGGAGGTTTCAATTACAAACTCTAAAGTCAAAACAATCCGAACTCTTCTGCTTTTTACCTCTGTAAAATAGACAGTCTCCTTCCTCCCAACACACTAGCGTCTTGGAGACCACCACTTCCACAGTGTCAAGGATTACCTCCAACTGCAGTCTAAAACCACATCTAAAAGACAACAGGATTGCATGTTGATGTTGGGTTAAACCTGGAAATTCATCAAGCATGAACAACTTTGTTGCCTAAAATGAAACAAAACCTCTAAAATTTTTCTGCTGACTTGGATCCTACAGAGCTTTACCTGTCTAAAATCAACTTAGTTGCATGGATTTCAAAAGTGTCATTACCGTGTTTCAGTGGTGTAACTGAGAGCAAAAGTCTGACCTTTGAAATTTCACGTACCCCTAAAGTCTTGTGTCATGATCAAATTACTTAGTGCAGAGAGCTGATAGCAACCACTTCTTCCAAAAGACAGAAATAAGCTGTTTTCGAGAATTAAAGGACAGTAAGAGCAAAGGAGCTATTTTAATTTTTTTATTATTTTTTAGCATAGCGAACAGTTTAAAATGTAGTTAGTATTTATTTGATCTCTCCTGTTTTGCTGTCTTTCTCTCCACAGTCTTTGTTTATTATTTGCATAGGTATTTCAGACAGAAAGAGGCCAGAGAATTGCACTTGCTTGTTGATTTTTGCCCCAGCCTCCCTAGGAGGACCCTAGAACAAATCACTTACCCATAGGTCAAAAGCAATGACACCTGTGAAGCTTTCAGTATAAAGTCAAGCATTGTTGAGAGAGAGCAGACACTTGTGTTTTCAAGCTGGCTGGCAAACTGACACACAATTATTTTCTAGACTTTATCCATACCAGGTTTGGCTCTGAGAATGAAACCCTTGTTCTTGTCTTCCCTCCCTCTGGAGCCAGCTCCATTTCTTAGCACCTAGTATGAATCTGGAGTGGAGCTCTTGTTTTTCCCTGTAGCAAGGGCCGGGAGAATGAATTAAATATAGACTGGGGAAGAGCTGCCAGGCGGTGGCAGCATTAGCTGCAAATACCATTTCAGCCTTGCCTGTGGCCCACCTCAGGGTGCAGTCAGGGCTCTGCTGGAATATTCTACTTGCTCAACATGGGGTGCCTCCAGCCTCATTCTTGTGGGCAGCAAGGCAGGAAGTGAATGAGAAAGCACTTGCAGACTGGCAAAAACAAGGTTCATGTGTGTTATTTATAGGGCAGGAAAGAAGCCAAACTCAGCAAGACAAGTCCACAGGCAGGGTGAGTGAAGCCTGCACTGAACAGCTCAATAACTAAGTACAATTTCTTGCTCCAAATTTCAATCAAGTTATGGCAGTCTCTGACAAAAACCAGGAAGGCAGTTCTGGAAAGATATGCACTATCTTCTCTCCTCCATACATATACCCTGCTCCAACATCCTAGCCAGGGTGCTGGCAAAGCTGCTCTAGGCTCTGCAATGCTGCACGGTGCAGAGACCATGGAGAAGTCCTGCCACTGCCAGGCATCCACACATCTCACAGGGCTGGAAAAGACCCTTTTGCCAATGTATTAACAACCCCTTTTTGTCCCTAGGTAATCCTGAAAATCCAAAATGCAGTGGAGGGAAAAATATTGTGAGAGGCTATCCAGAAACAGGAGACAGCACACACCTGGATTTGGAATCACACTGCTATGTATGACAACAGCAAGGAAGTTCTGGGTTGAGCCCTTCTCTTTTCAGAAGCAATAGGTTTTCTCTTGCCAGTTTGGCCAGAACCCCTCTCTCAGCTTTAATTCTTCTTGGAAGATTCCCTCCACTTACTGAAATGCAAGGATTGACACCAGATATAAATTTGGCCTAGTTACTTCTTTTCCCTACTAAGCTTTTCCCCCGCTCAGCAATAGAGGGATGGGAAGAGGAAGTAAATGTTTTATTTTCTTTAAATCCTGAAGTGAAGTATGTCATATGGTATGCTGAGTAGCAGGAGCTACATCTGCTACTTTAAACGTGCTTCTGGATATCTCCTGTGTAAGGAAAGAACTCACAAGGGCCACATTGAAGGCATTGGACTCCATATAATGGACAGTCTTCTTCCTGGTACGCACCTCCTTTCTTTATAACATAAGAACATAATGCCTTTATTTTTAGCATAATATTTTCTCTTAGGAATAAAGTAAAACACCATGCAAAGTACATTCTCCTTATCAATATTAAACTTCTCTCTTTGAACCTTCCTCAGTTACAGAAGTTCTTGGGAAGAAACTGGATCACTGAATTCCTCAGGTTAATTCAAATGTGAAGAACAAACTTCCTCACCTACCTACAATTCCATCCTCCCTAGATATTCTTGGCCATTCTACCAGACAGCAAAATTTGTTACTGGCCTTTCCCCTGTAGAGGCATTCAGAGACACCTTAGTTCTTCCCTATACCATATAGAGATGACCAACCAGCAACTTTCATTCTCAGGAACCAGTGAAGGAGAATAATCATCATGTCATATTCTCTGTGCTCTGTGGCATGAAGAGGTCCAAAAAAGCAACTGACGGAAGTCTTTGACTCACAGAGCTTGTGCCATCAGTGGTCATACCGCAGAGACATGGTCAATGTCATGGGGACACTACCTGAGACGGTGACTTTGGGATGCTTGCCCCAGGCGCTTCCAAAGTGGACGGTTCCAGCTCATGGTTGACAGTCTTGGTCTCAGGGCTGGTGATGGGAGATCCATCTGGTGGAGGTGAGGGGCTTTTATTTGCTTTCGCTGGGGTGCTCTCACTGAAGGAAGTGG